TGCACGCAAGGCAGGCAGGCCACTTCCATTTAGGAAAGGGCCTGCACACACATTCCGCATTCGGGCACTGGCTGCATGCTGCGCAAGCGCTGTTGCGCTAACACTGGCCAGGCTCACGCACTCACGGGCGAGCTGGAAGGAGCAGGTAGCCATAGCCGAGCTGCGCTGCTGTATGCTGGATGGGGCGCATGGTGGTCCTTGGGTGCATGTGGCATCTGTGAGTTGGGGTAGAGTAGGCTAGATAGGATCTTCCATCTGTAGTCTGGGCGCCAAGCGCCAAATAGGATATCAACATTGGTTATTCGTTGATGATGATGAGACTATTCCGGCATTGTCAATTATGAGTTTTTGGTGTGCTCTTATTTGGTGAAACTCGTGATGCAATTCTGCTATTGGTTTGAGGTCACGACTATCTGGTCTCATGTGTATGATGCTGTTTGATTTCTGAAGTCGCTATTGCTCATCTTCCTTGCAATTTGGTATCAGATTTGTGGTACGGTGCGCTCATTTGACACTTGTCTCCTGCCTTTGCGGTACATGCACGAGGTCTGTTGGGCGAGCGGTCGTGGGAGGTGTGTAGTGAGGAGGGTGGAGACAAGTGAGGCGACCCAGGAGGTGAGGGGTATCGCCAGGAAGGCTACTAAGTGGTGAATATTGGGTGTTCGCAGTGTGATGAGAACTATCCGATGTGTGAGTGATGCTGAAGTGGAACGGTGGTGCAATGCTGGTTGTGCCGAAGCAATGATTGGTCATCACAATCAATATCGGGTCATCTGGTGAGAATATTTGTGGTTGGAGGCAGTTATTTTGAGGTACGTTGCACCTAACCTTATCTACCCTCTTCGACACTCCTTACCGTGAGGATGTGTGTTCTGTCTTGAGAGTCCTCTCACGCGAGGAGTCGTGTGCGCTCAACCTTGAGAGTCGTCAGTCTTCACATGGAGCATCTGGAAGGAGAGGGTGGTGCTATCTAAAGGGCCCTAGACGAAGCACTCCATCACGGTCACCATGCCAACCCACCGGGAGTAGAGCACGCATGCTTGGCTGCTTTGTCCTTTGTCTGCTCGCTGCGCTGTAGAGGGTTTTTGAAGGGCAGGCCAACCCTATGGGACAGACGAGAACGAGCATCTATAAATAAGCACCGATTGGGTTCCTTCCATTGGTTGTGATCGCCGTCATGTTTGTGATGTTAAATAATTCCTTAGGACTTTGGGGGTCGTCCATAAAAACGCCTCCTGATGAACCAATCGGTCGGTGTAAGGCTCCTTGTATGCGAGGATAAAGACTGTGCAGAGCTGGCCAGCTCAGCAGGACTCTAGGCACAGGGGTGGGCCGTGTGCACACCTTTAGACACGCACGCTGTCCGGATTGCTCAAGGACCTTGACGACAGGAGACATTCAAGAAGAATTGAGGGAGGGGTAGATTCCAGGTGATAAGTTCGGGGAAGATTCCACTCTGCAAACAGACCCAACAAATGATTCTATTTTTATTTTGATTAGTTAGATGTACAGCCATTAACATCTGACAGACAACATAGTTTATAACTGTTTTCTGTTCATTGTGCTTCTGTTTGCGAACTAGTCAAAGCCAACGTAGTTTCGTTTGTAGTAATCTGAACTTACCTGTTGGACCCAAATGTATATACTCTCTGACGCGGCCACTGATTAATTAGTTTGATTATTATAAATCGGTCTGTGCACTACGCTGTGGTAAGCATCAAAGACTGGCTTAGTGCAGATTGTGTACATTTATGTAGCTTATGAGAGAAAGGGATACCACTAGTGAGGACGACCGAATCTTGCGATCGGCTAGATTCCCGATTGCCCACGTGGCATTAGGACCCGAGGGTGATAGGTTACTGTTCCCCCAACTTAGGGAGAGGCAGCAGCAGTGGAGAGCTAGGGCAGCGGAGGCCAGCAGGGCGTTTGCAAGTGAAGCCGCTGGTTCTGCAGCCATGGCAACCGCTGCGCGGTAGAGGTCCCAGGCCAGCAGTTCAGGGACTGTAGGGTCAAGGGTCGCACAGACCTTGAGTCAGTCCACTGGCGTCATGGAAAACCAGTCATTAGTACTGACTTCCGATGAGATCACCATAGAGCAAGCAGCACTGCAGGAGGCACAACTACAAAAGGCCTTAGGAGAGATAAAGGCGAAGAAGGAAAGAATGATTAGAAGAAGAGCCAGGATGCAGCGGAGACAAGCGAACGTTAGTGAGTTAGAGGAGATGGACCTGACAAACATGGATGATGATGTGAGGACCCTACGGACTGTCTTGCTAGATGTAGTACAAATGCAGGACCACCACACGGCTCTCCCTCAGGACATCTAGCAGAGTCTGGCCTTGCTGGTCGGGCGAGCGCAGGCAACACCATCGTTGTCCAGTCCCGGTGCCTGGCCCGTTGTACAACCTCCTCCTTATGTCCCACCGATGACTGGGGTATCCCCATATATTTCCCCAGAATTGGTTCAAATCGTTTCCCTGCGTATGCCATTAACAAGAGGGTTCTCATCAGGTCCTAGTGTACAAGTTCCTGTACAGAAAATGTTCTCCCAACCTCCGTCGCAGGTTACCATAAGCGGGCAACCTGCTGTTTCGTAGCCTGCACAGCCGCATGGTACACAACCCCAACAGCAGCTAGTACAGCAGCCTGCACCACAGGGTCCATAGGTCGGAATGGTGCAGGTACCGCGACAAAGTCAGTGGGTTCCAAAGACGGTCATCACTGCTCCTAAACCCTTTAAAGGGGATAAGAGGGGCGAAGACCTCGACACATGGTTGAGGGCAGTGCCAGTCTATGTTAAGTGTAAACTTACCTTGCCGCCGAGGACGTGCTTGTGGCGGCCTCCTGTCTAGAGGGGAGTGCAGCAAGATGGTTGAGCGGTTTAGTGCAGTTACAGGGATACGGTCATGACTTCCCCGCTTGGGTAGTCAACCAGAAATTGTATGACTTCCTCAAGATGGTGGAAGACAGGTGGCATGATCCTCAGGAGGCCCAAAAGGCCACTGATGCGATCCTGACTATGCATACTAGGCAGTTTAAGTCAGTAAGGGAAGCCACAAATGAAGTAGAGCGTCTGATCTGTGTCCCTGGGGTATGACCCCCAGGTTTTACTCACCTCCTACCTGAGATGCTTTCCTACGCCTCTCAGGAAGTGAGGCCAACAACATGCACAACTTCCCCTCGTTTAGCAAGAAGTCCCAAGACCTGAAAGCAAAGATAGGGCATGATCAGACACCCACGACGGATGGTAGGAAAAAGTCACTACCTTCCAACTGGAAAGCGAAGGGATGCATCATGTTTGTCGACAACGATGGTTCCACCATCGAGTTGGAGGAAGACTTCCAGGCGAGAGTGGGTTCAAAGACTGGCAGCGTAGAAGCTTCAAGGGGTGGAGTAGTCGCTACCGTAGCTCAAAAAGGTAAGGCGACCTGTAGACGTTGTGGAGGTTTCCAGTCTAGGAGTCAAGTTGACCCCAAAGCTCCTCCACAGGTGAAAGGGGGTCTCACGGAGGACGTGTGGAGAAACAGGTACACCAGGCGGGCCTGTATTCGTTGTGGTCAATATGGCCACAACCAATTCAAGTGTCGCAATAAGAAGGTGACCGAGAGGATCCTGCCTACGATGGGGCAGGCGTTGGGATCCTCCACTCCCATTGGTAGAAATGTGGCCAGCATTTCTAGCACTGCTCCGGGAAACGCGTCGGACCAGTAGGAATAGTAGTTGTTCCTGCTACGGTCGAGGTGGTGGACACACCCTCACCATCTCGAGAGATGGCCCAAGCTACTGACTTCGTTGTCGTCGCGCAAACACATTAAGACCCATCGAGCCTCTGTTCGATGAATGCGTTTAAGTCCTTAGAGGAGCTAGAGGAGGAGTGGTGCAAATTAGACCCGCTAGCTTCTTGGACAACATTGGCAAAAGCCCCTAGGAGTGAGATGTTAGTCGGCGAGGTAGTCATTGGCGGGTCCTAAGGCAGGGGCCTATTATGACACTTGCTCGACTAGGAACTTCATTAGTCGCGAGTGCGTTGAGAGGCTGCGCTTACTAGGGCAAGTGCAGCGCTTGAGTCGACCCGTGGAGTTGACCTATACCAACAAATAGCGCATCGTAGTCCATGACTACCTACATAACGTTGAGTGTTGTTTCTCGTACGCGGGAGGGGAATTGAGACCTCGTGTCTCGTTCCTCACACTTTGCCAGGTGCGGGGACCGCCAAATTATGTAAGTTTAAAGCTAGTAGTCTGATTGATTCCTACGAATGCATGTGTGCGGCCGCGTTCTATAACGATTATAAGCAAAATCCGGAGGAGGGTATGTATGTAGTCTATGTCTCTACACGAGGCAAGCCGGTGAAAATGCCGCCGGAGATAGAGGGAGTAGTTGCTAGATACCCTGATCTATTTGAAGAGCCGAAAGGGGTTGTCGAGAGGGAGGCCGTCCACGCGATAGAGATTATCCCATAATCTAGTATTCCAAAGGGTAGGATCTATCAGATGTCTCTAGGCGAGCTTGATGAGCTTTGCTGGCATCTTAAGGAACTCGTAGAGAAGGGTTGGATCCGACCGAGTGTCTCCCCTTACTGATCTCCAGTCTTGTTTGTACCGAAGAAGGGGGGGACCTTGAGGATGTGCATTGACTATAGGGTCCTCAATGCCATCATTGTTACGAACCAAGAACACCTACTGAGCATCGATGACTTGCTAGATAGAGTGCAAGGGTGTCGGTACTTCGGCAAAATAGGTCCGAAGTCCGGTACCATCAGCACGCTATGAATCGGATCTTTCATGACTACTTGGATAAGTTTATCATCGTGTACCTCGATGACATACTTATTTTTAGTAAGATTGTCGGGGAGCATGTTGCGTACTTAGACAAAGTCCTCAGTCTTCTTCGGCAACACAAGTTCAAAATCAACGGGGAGAAATGCGAGTTCGGTCGCACCCGGATCTTGTACTTGGGTCATGAGATTTCCGCGGAGGGTTTGAAGCCCGATGACGCGAAGGTGGCCAGCATCCATGACTGGCCGCATCCTCAATCTGTGACTGAGATGAGGCCTTTCTTAGGGATGACAGGCTACTATCACAATTTTGTGACGAACTATAGCAAGTGGCCACCCCTTTGACTGACTTGCCTTGACACCCCATGGGAGAGGACAGACAGGTGCGAGGCTGTTTTCAGACATTTGAAGCATGCGTTGATGCATCATGAGGTCTTGAAACTTCCTGATCCTGACAAGCCGTTCATAGTAACCACGGATGCCAGCCAATATGGCATTGGCGCCGTACTTGCGCAGCAGAAGGGGCCAAAGTTGAGGCCAGTCGAGTACTTGTCCAAAAAGATGTTGTCTAAGAAGTTGGCTAAGTCCACTTATGAGAAAAAGCTCTACGCGATTTATAAGGCACTGACCCATTGGAGACATTACCTCCTTGGGAGGTTCTTCATCGTCGGGACGGATCATCAGACCTTGAAGTGGATGAGAACCCAGCTAGTACCTTCTGATGCCTTGAAGCGCTGGATCGAAGTCATTGAACGGTACGACTTCGAACCCCAGTATGTGAAGGGGGAGTACAACAAAATCAGTGAGCAACTGTTGATGCCTTATCACGAAGGCCTGATTTCTCTGGTGCGTTGATTACTGAGTTCAAGGTTGAGGACGATTTTACTCGCTGAAGCCTATCGCGAGGATCCGTTTATGTCTGAGATCATTCGCAGACTCGAGGCGAAGGACAAAGTGACTTCTGTCGAGTTTGAGTTGGTCAACGGCTTGCTGTTCCTGGAGAAGGTCGGGAATAAACGTTTGTGTGTGCCTAATCCGGAGTCTTTGCGTAGTTTATTTTTAGTACAGTGTCATGATGCCATAGGACATTTTGGATACAAGAAGACTGCAGCCAATCTGCTGCAGCAGTTCTGGCGGCCCACGATGATGAGAGATGCCAAGCTATATGTGGAGACTTGTCAGGTCTGTCAGAGAGACAAGCCACGTACACAGGCCCCTCTTGGGCTTCTCAAGCCCCTCCCGATTCCGGAAAAGCCTGGTGAGAGCTTGTCAATGGACTTCATGGACACGCTGGTCACCAGCAAGAGTGGAATGAGACACATCTTCGTTATCGTGGATAGGTTTAGTAAGTACACTAGGTTAGTTGCGATGCCAGAGACAACGAAGACCGAGTACGTCATTAGGTTGTTTAAGGAGAACTGGGTCAGAGATTTGGCTCGCCGAAGTCTATTGTGAGCGATCGGGATGTTAGATTCATGAGTGAGCTCAGCTGCACAACAAGGAACACAGCTGCAGATGACATATGGAAAGCACCCAGAGGCAAACACGCAAGCAGAGCAGTTAAACCGCGTTGTACAACACCTGTTGCGGCACTACATCAAGCCCAATTAGGTGGACTGGGATGAGAAACTTGCTCTCATCGCCAGCCTGTATAACAACGTTCTGCACAACGCCACTGGGGTGAGCCGTAAAAGCGTGCTACCGACTTTCAAACCTTGACTGCCCCTAGACTTTCTACTGCATGAGAACCAGCCAACTGCTGCACTTGGCACACTAGAATTTGCTTATCAGATATGAACGACTGATGCAGCAGGCGATCGAACAGATGCACAAGGCACAAACGACAATGATAGAATTAGAAAACAAGCACCGCTGCCCATCAACATTCCAGATAGGGGACAATGTCTGGGTTTAGTCTTCAGAATTGGGACAGGAGCACGAGATCTCCCGCAAGCTCATGCCACAATATTTTGGGCCTTGGAAGGTTCTGGATATAGTCGGAGATGATCCTGATGGTCCATCATATGTATTTCATATCCCTGGTCACCTTCCTACTTACCCTGTCTTTCACGCCTCCAAGCTTGCACCATTCAAGGAAACTCACCAGTTTCCCTCGCGACGCTCAATGCTGCCCCCAACCATGGATGCAAAGGTCGATATCGATGACATCATGGACCACAGGGAAATGCGGGTTCCAAGACCTTCAGGCAGGGGACGTCCTCCAAAGCCAGAGCTGCAGTACCGCGTTCAGTTCAGGCACCATACTGATCCAAAGGAGGATAGATGGTTCACTCGAGAGGAACTAATGTAGACCGCTCCACATGTTGTCGCCCACTACGAGAAGTTGTTGCACAAGGGAAAGCGTCAGATTGAATAAACTTCTCAGAGGACTAGCGAAGTATGGAGTAGGGAATGCAAGGCACAAGGCCTCGATAAGCCCTACTGGACACATATTTACAACAGTGTCGGCCGCCCTAAGTGAAGGCAGGCTCGACAGAGTACAAAAGGCCTATTTTGGACTACTTCGCAACTGGGGGAAAATTCAGACAGTGGCGCATCGCCAATTGGTTGAAAGCGCCCAGGCCCTGGCCTCCTTTATCAAATGCGCATCTGAGTCAGGCTATAGGCGAGCTACGCAACATGGACCTAACTCAGGCTGCGGGCAGTTGGGCACGGGTAATTGTCACAGGCCTTGGGTCTGGTCTGGGGCTCAGCCTTTCTGGCCTACCGGAAGCTTCTGGACAGGGGCCCAACGCAGTTAGGCTCCACGCAAGGCATGCAGGCCACTTCTATTTAGAAAAGGGCTTGCACACACATTCAGCATTCGGGCACTGGCTTCATGCTACGCAAGCACTGCTGCGCTAATGATGGCCAGGCTCACGCGCTCACGGTGTCGGGACCGGTGGGTCCTAAATAACATCCCGACACTCGAAAGCCTGTATATAGCCAAGTTGTGCACGACATAGAAATCTGGAGTAAGGAGGCAAGAGAGAGACAAAAGACAAAGGACTAGGTCGTCGGGAGGAATGATGCCTTGGGTTGAGAACCACAGGGGGAAAGAATCGGCGACGGCAAACAAGTAAGCGCTAGGACATGAGCGCATAGGAACATAGTATTAGGCGAGAAGGGCTATTGGAATTCAACATGACTAATGCCAAAGGGTCATTAAATTTGCAAATGCGGCACGACAAGCGACAAGAGAATAGGGAAGCCGAGAGGTGGACGGTGGCCGTGGGACGCTAAAAAATAAGGGCCCAACGTGGGGGTCGCCTACGACAATTAACGGGAACGTCGGATTCGAGGCCCCGCGGCTGGAGAAACCGGCGAACGCAAGGCCCGAGAAAGGCAAGAGAAAGGGGCCACCGTAGGACGGTGAACGCCAAAAGAACATGGGACACCTTGAGGAAAGACACCAGGGACCACGTGAGACTAAGTAAAAATAATGGTATCCGGGACAAAAAGTGTCAGGGACCACCGGCGGGACAAAGTGTCGGGGATCACCGGTGGTACAAAGCGTCGGGGACCCCCGACGGGACAAGTAGCGGGGACACGTGAAGGTTTCAAGAAGAAACGACGGACCGACATGAGAGGAAAATAATTAAAACAAGATGCACCGTCAAGATTGAGATCTTGACGACCGAAAATATAAGCACCGCTAGTGCAAGCACTATTGGTAGCAAACGGGAAGGCCAAAAGGAAAAGAAAAAGTAAAGAATCATGAAGTGGGAGGCATGGGAGCAATCCGAAAAATCTCGGATCAGCCTCCCTCAAGAAAATGGAGTAAAAAAGGACTCCATGTGAAAAATAGGCCTCCGGGAGAAAATCGGAGTAGGAGGAGCTACTGTGGGAAAAAATAGAGGTAAAAGGAAGTTCCCATGGGCGTGAGGAAGCCATTATTGCAATCCGAGATGTAACAGACTGCACCATGGGCATAGGGAGGGCCAAAACTAATAGGAAGGGCCTAGAAAAGGGCCTTAACGGCCACTTGACACTTGGCATGCTAAAAAAAGAAGAAAAAAAAAAAAAAAGTGGGAGAATAAGACAAAAGGTTGAGAGGGGGTGAGTGAGTTGGTCGTCAGTAGGGACTGCCACAAGTAGGGACTGACAGGTCCCTACTGTCCAAGAAAGGAGGAAAAAAGAAAAGAACAGAAAAGGGAAAATAAAAGAAAAGAGAAAAAAATCTTAACAGTAAAAACGGCTACTTGGGGATATACATCCGTGATCAGATACATTCTGGAATATGGCGGTTGCAAARGACCTTGATTTTYTTTTKATTTTGCATAGAAAATCAAGAAAAATCAAGGCCCCATGCAACCGAAATACAACGGATTACATGGGGGAGGAGAAACACATGTTTTAGGTGCATCCGAAGCCAAAATTGAGTCCGGATGCACTTGAAAGTTGGTCATTTCTTTTTCCTTCAGTTTTGGGCTAGTTGTGGGGCAATGAGACTAGGAAATTGGCCCCTATTGCAGTCCGAGTTACAACGGACTGCATTGGGAAGGGAAAACATATGTTTTAAGTGCATTCGGAGCCAATATTGAGTCCGGATGCACTTGAGAATTGAGCGCTTCATTTTCTTTCAACATGGGGCAAGTTGTGGGGCTGTGGGACTAGAAAAATGACCATAATTGCAGTCCGGGAGAAATCAGACTGCATAAGGATGCCTAGGCTAAGAGAAAATGAGCCATGGCAAACCCAAAAGACTAGAAAATAGTAATTTCGGCATAGGGCAAATAAAGACGGTAAACGACAACTTTGAGATGAGATATCGGGACCAAGAATAATCGGCAAACATGGGGCACCTAAGGAAGGGATATTGGAACCACCAAGGACGAGAAGGTCCCAAAATAAAAATGGGACATCATCCGGGACGTTGCCGGGGACTAAGTGAACCCAAATAAAAATAGTTGAAAAACGGGACACGCGCTGGCGGTACTACCGGCGGGACAAAAAAATGGCATTAGTAAGAGGAGAGTGGCGGGGACTTGAGTTGTCCTAAGGTAATTATGAGCTAACATGAGGGATGGTCGCACAAAGCAAACTGCACCGTCGAGATCAAAATCTAGACGGTGGAGAATAATAGCACCACTAGTGCAAACACTAGTGGCATCAAGTGGGAGAGCAGTGAGAGTAAACAAAGCAAAATAATAATGATGGAAGGGTGGTTCAGCAGCCCGGGATATCTCGAACTAGCTAGGCATGAGAAAATGGACCCCCAAGAGGCTCAACACAGAAAAAAAGGTTGTCAAAAGAAAATCGGAGCAAAGAGGGCTCAAAATTGAGACTAACGGAGGCGAAATGGGCACCCTCATGAGCATGGGGGTTTCATTATTGTAATCCAAGATATAACGGTCAACTGTTGGGTCTGAATCTGTCCATGGATGAGGATCCATGGCCTAAAAAAACACTCAACAGCTATTTGACACTTGTCACATCAGAAATAAAAGAAAAGAAAAGAAAAATGAGATAAAATTGAGGGAGAATGAGACAAAAGGGGAGAAACGAATGGAGGAGAATGTGCCGGCCTATTGGGACTGTCATAGTAGGAACTGGCAGGTCGCTATTGTGACCTCATTCCTCCTACAATTGAGGAGGGCAATCCGGATTGCAGAGATATGACCCTTGGGGCAATATCTCCACAAAATCTGAATTAAAAAAAGAAAATTGAGAGAAAAAGCAAAAAGGAAATGGTCGGTTTTCTTTTGGGTCATTCAGATCTATGGAGGAGGGAATATGGCCGTTTTTGGGGAGGCCTACTCACACGGCCAACTCCGGAACGAGTTGGCAGCCCAAAATGGAAAGAAACAAAAGAGAGAAAAAAACAAAATTGTGCATTTGGCCCAAACAGAGAGCCACATGCACCAAAAATTGAAAAATTTTAACTTAGAGGCTCAAATTTGAAGCAAGGACTACTTGGGGGTGACAAGGAATATTGTTGTTCTTGGATCTCAGCCAGATCCAAGGCAGATATAGCACCGAGGCATGAGAAAATACCTCTGCCTACCAAAAATGGGGTAAAAATTGAAAAATCGAGAAGACTGCTCACTAAACTTTTTTCTCTCAAGTGAGGCTTCCCCTTGGGCATTAGGACCCAAGGGGGCAGCATTTTGAAAATGAAAAAGAGGTTGAAGGATGCCAAGAGGCAATCCGAGTTGGTACCAACCACTCATACTGCATGTACTGGGCCAAAATAAGGCTCGGGTACCTCCGGAAGGGCCGAGTGGTGGAATTTTGCCTTGGGGGTACCTCGGTTCACCTCAAGGCACATGGGGAGGCCCATGGGCTGGCCGGAGTGCTGGTTTTTGCCTACATAAGCTGAGGATTCAGTCCGCCACATTCACA